TCCAACGGATTGGTATCCGGAGATTTTGTTGGCCATTGTGAGCTGGAAATGAAGCGAGGAACCTAATTTTGTAACCATTCTTGGGTGGCGCGTGCTGAGTGCGATGGTTCTGAGTCCTCTTGGAAGGCCAATTTCAATGGCTTAACCTCGAGCTCATTTTTCAATATTTGCCTAATTGAATATTGCGTTATGTTCTGCTTACGAGCCATTTTTCGACCACTGCGACACGGGTTTCGATCAAGTTGCTTCTTAACTTTTCGAACCATTTCTGCTGATGTTGATGTTATCTTCCGTCCACTTCCTTGACGTCGGACTACGCTACCAGTATCGCGGTAACAAGCGATGGTACGAGACACAGGAGATTTATTCACATTTAAATGCTGGAGTGCTCTAACGATAGAAACTTGTGGTTTTCCAGTCAAATATAAAGAAATCACACTATCACGTTTGAATTCCATCGCGATTACCTTTTTTCTCGAAAATTCTCCGCAAAATGCTCTTGTACGCTTGTAAACAATATAATATAGCTGTCACTGAAGTAATTTTAACAGTTGTCGGACGAGTGGCTTGGAAGTGGTAGCAGTCTGAATTTTGTTGCAGTTTTTCCTTTCAACCTGTAATTCTTTGCTCTAAAATCTCTTAAATTTGGTGCTCGATAGAATAGCACTTATGCAATTGCTGAGACCTTCAAAATGCCGGAAAGGCGGAGGTATAGAGGAAATTTTTGTGAGAGGAAAAAATCTATCTAATGAGAACCCTATATATAGAATAACAGCTAATTACGTGAATAATGGCCGGTGAATAATGTCGCTAATAGCATCAAAATACCGAATAAAGGGAGGTACCGGTATATGTGGGCTACACGAAGACGTGGACCTCCATAGGTAATTTTTGTCATAGGTTGTAGTACTCATTAAGATCTAATAATACGAAATTCCTAAATTCCTCAAGTTACCGAATATTGGAAGTCACCGTTATATGAGACTATACGAAAACGTGGTAATGAAGAATCCCAGCTGATTCATTTCCCTAGTTTGGCGGAAAAAGTCAGATAGACATTTGATGCAAACGACGGCTGATAGAAGATGGAAGGTTACCGAAAACGAAATTAAAACGAATTGAAAACCTCCATTGGTGCCCACAATGGGCTGCTACTATTTACCCACTTGCGAGTTGCTAGTTTCATTAACACGCTGGTGTGTAATAAAGGTTTGATCTAATTATACATAATTGTTGTTTGAGTAATAAAATGGCAACTCTGCATGTGTTGTTATTTGTTTTTGTTGTTGCTGCTGTTATTAATCGTTGTTGTCAGCTCTGCGAGTGTCCCATGTGTTTTTCTTAATATTTTTTTGTCGGTGGGTGATAGGTCTTTTCATTTTATGTACCTACCTAACTGTGAGTGTGTGCGTGTGCGAGTTTTTGTATTGTTGCTGTTTTGCTACTGTTGTTCTAGTCGTAAAAGCAAAAGCAAAAACAACAACAGCAGCAGCACAGCAATCTAGTGGATACTAAACAATTTTCCACGTTTTTTTGTGTCTTTTTTTTATGTTGTCGGTCGGTTGTTCGGACTTTTCTCATGTGCTGTGTGTTTCTAGTTGTTGTCACTTAAATGTGCCACACATATGGCCAGTTTGCTCTTTTCTACTCTCCGGCATAACTGTGACGAAATTGAAATTCTCCTGAGAGACTACAAAGTTGCATGTTCTCTTCAGAATTTTCCCCCAAATTCATTGAGAGTCAACCAAAGCCAGGTCCCATTCTCTTGTTGTGTGTATGGGTGCGATTGTCGTGACAGCGTAAAATCTACTCCCGAACTGGCGCACATGTTTGTTAAGCAGTGTTGCCGTTTTATTATTTGTATTTTTGTTGGTATATTTTTCCAATGAAGTTGCAGAAAACTGCTAAAAAGCCTAATTAATTGAAGTTCGAAAAAAATACCATTTTGAAATATAAATGAACCTCTATTGTAATTTTTCAAATAGCTCAATGTTTCAAATTACACTCGAATCCGTGGAGAATATATTTAAAACATCACGCTATCTTTCGAACGATTTGAGATTGAAGGCTAAAATATTGCACACATGTGTATTTTGCCAGTAGGCAGGTTATGTTCGTAAATGCGCCACGTCAGTGCGACCACATCATTCATCTGAATACGAAATATCAAACAATTGCGATGAATAATGTCGCTTAAATCATCAAAATACGAAATGGATGGAGATACCGTTATATGGGGGCTATACGAAGACCTGGACCTGCATAGACAATTTTCTATCACAGGCTGTAGTACCCATTAGGAACTTCAAATACGGAATTTGGAACAATTGCGGTGAATAATGTCGCAAAAATCATGAAAATACCGAATATCGTGGGTACCTTTATATGGGGGCTATATGATATCGTAAGCCGATACTTCGAACTTGACCTTCTTGCAGACAAAAGACTGACCTGGACAAAATTTTAGCTTCCTATCTTAATTCATTTTGATTCTAGCGTGATTACAACAGATTGACAGGCAGACGAACGGGCATGGCTAAATCATCCTAGAAGTGTACGCTGATCAAGAATATATACGCTTTGTAGGATCTTAAATTATTATTTCGATGAGTTACATACGGAATGACGAACTGAATATACCCTCCATACAATGTATGGTGGAGGTTATAAAAATAGGAATATGAGAAGAGAGTACAGAAAAATACAACAACCGCATGACAAAAACTCAGAGTGTGTTCGGCAAGAGTAGAATCTGCTCGATTTTCATAGAATTTTGCTCCTATTCGAAAACGAGGAAAATATGCTCACTCATATTCGATCGTCATCGAAAAATTGAGTTTGTCCGAATTTTTCTCCGCTCCCAGGAAGCAGTAATCGCTCGAATTCGAGTGAATTTCACTCTTTGTATAAATTCGATCGAGTTTTTTGGAGGTCTGGTCAAAACTTCTCTGGTTTGTCTAGTCTTCAAAGGTTCTTCATACTGTAATGGTTAATACATGAATGCCACTCAGGCTTGCGTTGTAGGCTTCTTGATCTAGAGACTCTCTCTTATAGCTTTGGGCCTCCCTCTCTAGATCATCATGTATCCTTCCTGATACGCTTGGGGGGAGGAATTTTATCCACCATATGATGGTTTGGATGACTCCCACGACACCCGTGTAGGCATTGCAACGAAAGCATATGGCTATGCCACTCTGTTATTCATTACTCTTTTTTTTAGGAATAACTCATTATTTTTTTAGCTTACTAGTAATGCAGTATTATACCCTCCACCATACAATGGCTTTGAAATTGGGCACAAAGATTTATATTATCCACAGGCTGATTGGTATTGAAAATAGGCAACGTTTAGATATATTCCCCATATAACTGTACCTTCCGATTTTCGATATTTGTAAGATTTCTGCCACAATTTCCAACCCCTAATACCGCTATCTCCCGATATTCGGTCATTTCCAACCAAATCAGCAGAAACTTGACATTTGTGATTCTCGGCAGGTCCGTTCTCTCCTTTCGAAAGATGTTCGATTCAGGTTCACTAATTAGTATAGCCCATATATAACGGTACCTCCAGATTTTCGGCATTTTTAAGGTTTCTGCCACAATTTCCAACCAAAATTAGATGATAATGTGGGTTTTTGTGTTATTTATATACCCTCAGGTATATGGCTACAAAGGGTATGTATCGTATGATACGACCAAAACGTGCCTCATCGAAACAAGGGTTTTAGTCTCTAGGTCTCTTTGGACCAAGTCCGTTTCAGGACATTTGAAGTCGATCTAGCGCTATCCGTCCGTCTATCTGGCTGGTGCGCACGAAGGAGTATCCGATTTGGTCAAAACTTAGTACATCGTACATTTTTTAATAATCATAACAGAAGTCACGAGCGGTTAGCGACCATCGGCTGTTATGGCGGCCCACACCATCACCACGGCCGTCGCTTGAGTTCTGGTAGCCAACCGAAGGTGCACATTTTCAGCTGGCCTCTTTGGCAAGTAAACACGACCATTTTGTTTGTTTACAAACTGCTGGACAACGAATGTTTTCTCATTGGAGAAAACCAAATTCGGCAGTTCACCACTTTCGGCCAAGCGAAGCAACTCTTTAGCTTTTTGAGTCTATTTTCTTTCAGTTGAGGTGTAAGTTCTTGCACTTTTTGGAATTTCAATGGTTTTACCCCGAGCTCATTTTTCAATATTTGCCGAATGTAATATTGCGATATCTTCAGCTCACGAGACCTTTTTCGGTCACTGCGATGCGGGTTTCGATCAAGCCGCTTCTTTACTTTTCGAACCATTTCTGCTGATGTTGCTGTTTTCTTCCGTCCACTTCCCTGACGTCGTGCTACGCTACCAGTATTACGGTACCGAGCGATGGTACGAGACACAATAAATTTATTCACATTTAAATGCTGGAGTGCTCTAACGATTGCCACTTGTGGTTTTCCAGCCAAATATAAAGAAATCACACTATCACGCTTGAATTCCATGACGAATAAATTTTTTTCTGGATAATTCTCACCAAAATGCTTTTGTACGCTTGAAAACAATAAAATGAGCTGTCTCTGGAAAAATTTTAACAGCTGTCGGACGAGTGGCTTAGAAGTGACAGCAGTCTGAAGTTGATTGCAGTTTCTTTATCTCATCCTATAGATACAGTATTCTGTAATAATCAATATTTAGTACAAACATTATTTCAAGTACACTTGGCAACCCTATTTGTAAATCTGAATAACACAAGCAAGTACACTCTCCCAACAACCGCTAACACACACACACACAAACGCAAGCACTCTGTCATTTTCCTATTCGAGTTTTTCAGTTTTTCATGTGGGGGCCAAACAACTCTCGGAAATTATTGCAGGCCGACGTAGCAGCGGCAGCAGCAGCAGCTGACGTCGCAGTCATCACCGCCACTACTAAGAACAACAACACAGCCGAAGCAGAGTCCGAACACCTAGCTGGCTGGTTGTGGCGGCAGCGCTGTCAAGTTTTACTAGAATTGAGTCGTTGTTCTACTGTCGTTGAGATTGCAACACAACTTGAAATAATCACGGGTGCGTTGCTTAAAACACAGAGGAAAAAAATTTAAACAAAATCAAAAGCAAAAGGAAAAAAAGAAAAACAAGTGAAAAAAAAAAAAATAGAAAATAAAACAAAAAATCACAAACCATCCAAACGTCGCCGTCTGTTTGTTGATTTGTCCGTTCTATCCTACCCCACACCTCTGGGTTGTAAAGGAATTGTGCGAAAAAAGTAATTTTTTTATTTTATTTTTTTTGGTAAATTTTCATTTATCGAATTAACAAAAAACCGTATCGTAAAAACTGTCAACTCTCTTGAGCGCCGTGTGTCGTTGTCATCATCTTCTTCTGCGTTCCGAAAGTGTATCGTGCTCCTCGTGTGTGGGTACCACAAAACGCGTGGTGTGTCTTTTCTTTCCCCCTGCCTCCCAGCGATTATCGTTAAATCATCATCAAGCGTTTTTCCAGTTTTAATTTTTTTGGTGCAGCCACAAAACATTAATTATTACCGAATCAATTGTAGCCCTGTGTAAGTCTAAAATCAAAACAAATAAATAAGAAATATTGAAAATGTGGTGAAGAGAATGATTTTTTTTAATAAATGTGCCCAACAAAAATGGTTGTAAAATTACAAATTTTAAACAACCCTCCCCAGCCCAAAATGCTCTTGCCATGGTTTTGGGGCGAAACATGTGCATGTGTTGTAACTGGAGGCTATTTCGTAATAGTTTACCCACTTTTGGCATTATGAGAACCATGGCGAAACAATAACAACAACAACAAAGGCAACAACAAAATCAAATCACCAAACAAAACAAAATAATTTATTATGGCAAATAAGTGTGTGTATGGGTGTAAGTGAAATTATGTAAATGTGAGTGTGTGTGTGTGTGTGCTGATAATTAAAATTTGCGTGCAGGTTTATTTTTTCGCTTCGGGCTTCTTTTTTTGCAAACCTGCATCGTGCTCCCGCGCTTTCACATGCCTCGGTATGTGTGTGTGTTTTTATTCAACGATTAGTTGTCGCTGCCACAACGCCAGTGTATGTATGTATGTGTGTGGGTGAGTGCGTGTTGGGTTTTTAGTGCCTGGTTTCCGTTTCCCTTTTTGTGTTCATGGCTTTCGGGGTGTGTGTGTGTGTGTGTGCGTGTTTTTAATGCTGCTGGCCTGTTTGTATGTTTGAGTTTGTGTGTGTGCGTGTGAAATTGTAATTGTGTTGACAGCTTTAAGAATTTGTTCCAATTTTCCTCTTCAAGGAAACCTAACAGAAATACGTGGAATTTCCAATCCTGCCACTGGTTGGTGGTGCGATGCCACACAAACTTTTGTATTTCATCGCTTCGAGTCGAAGCCAAAGTAGCTTTGTTTTTTTCGGTGAATTTTGAAATTAGCTCATGTTGAAAGTTCAGTGCTATGATACATTTCTGATGGAAAAACAATGTGAATTTAGGTACCCTCTTGCTTAGAACTGCTGTCAAGTTTTCTGGAAATAAGCCCCTCAGAAGTGATGGAATTGGTTTAAAAAAATCTATAGAACAAATCATTTATAGATCTTCCGGAAATATAAGATTTTGTAAATATATGTCTTTCGTAGACAAGACTACAGGATCTTTAAAGAAAAAAATGCCATCCGTGGGCCTCAAATGAATGGGAGATTTATTGATTTTTATTGAAGTGTAAAAGACTCTAATGACTTTCCATAGAAAGAGGACGGATCTTCTCATATATGTCTTTCGTAGACAGGACTATAGGACTTTTAAACGGAAAATGTTATCCGTGGGTCTCCCAAGAATGGGAGATTTAATGATTTTTTTTTATACAACTGTAAAAGACTCTATGGACTTTCCATAGAAAGAGGACGGATCTTCTCATATATGTCTTTCGTTGATAGGACTACAGGAGTTTTAAATGGAAAATGCCATCCGTGATTTTTTTTATACAAGTGTAAAAGACTTTACTTTCCATAGAACGAGAATGGATTTTAAAAAACGGCTTATATATATATTTTTTAACTCCCCATAAAGCACTTAAATTTTTGGGCTTAATTCTAGTTAAACTCCGGATCTTCTTGAAATTTTATTTACAAGAGACTCATCCGGGTTCAAGGACCCATATCTCTGGATCCTAGAAAGATAATAACACATATCGTAGCATTTTGGAAAGTTTATGGTGTCAACTATAACCGGATATTCTTTAAATTTTTTTACCAGAGACTCGTCCGGGTTCAAGGACCCATATCTCTGGATCCAAGAAAGATAATAACACATATCGTTACATTTTGGAAAGGTTATGGTGTCAACTATAATTTGACATACATTTTGTGGACTCGTAAAATGGGACCTTTTTGACTTTTGGAAGATTTTTAAAAAAAAAATCCGGTTCCAAAAAATCAATAATTTTGATGCAACTCTGGAACCATTTTAAATAACCCCATAATGTGACCACTTGTTGGAGAATAATTTTCATTAGCTTTCAAATGTCAAATATCTGGGTATACGGGTCGACCCCCAAGAAAAAAAAAAATACTTCCCCGGAATCAGGGTAAAGATATCTACCTCTGGAAAAACAAGTTAAAAAGTATCAGCCGACAGATGTATCCCTCAGCCAATGTTCCATTATTTAAAAATATTTTGACTTTTGTTATGATTATTCAAATTGTTGACCCTCTATGGAGTATGTTCCGAAGGAATAAGCCAATATTGTCCATTTCATATGGGATCTAAATAAATTTAATATAAATATTGCAACGTGCCAGCTTTGACCTATGTAGGTTACTTCCTTCACTTAATATGAGATATGTGATAATTTTTTAGAAAATATTAAAATGTGCGTTAGGTACCAGACATGGTCGACCGAAGTATTCCATTTTCATACTTCATATAATACAGATATATATCATCTTTACAACAGATCTTGTGTTAGCAAATACATTCGGATGTGTGAAATTTAAAGAGAGTTGGATGCTTAATTCGCTTTCTTTCAGCGTTTTGTTTGTCAAAATCTTGAACCTGAAGAAATGTTCCGATCTCTACCATATTTATGACAGATCAGGTGTTGAGGGAAATATTGGGATGTGCCAAGTCTGAATTGAATCGGATGTTAATTTCATGTTTTATGAGCTTTATGGGCGAAATTTTGACCCTTTGTGGGGGGGGGGGGGTGATACCAGAAGGAAATTTTCATACCCAATTTGGGGGTATATAATCACCAAATTTTTTTTCATCGATTTAACGATTTTAAACCCTAGGTCCTTTGAGTGAGATCCGTTTCAGGAGATTAAAAGTCGATTTGCCCGTCCCTCTGTATGTCTGTTGTAATTACGCTATCTTTCGAACGTGTTGAGACAGAAGGATACAATTTTGTGTATTTTGCCAAGAAATGACTATGCTCGTCCACGACTTCGTACAGCCCCCATATGACGATACCTTCCGATATTCGATATTTTTAAGATTTTAGCGACATTATTAACCGGAATTATTTTAAATTTCGTATTTGAAATTCGAATCGGTACTACTCGTCTTTGTATAGCCCCCATATAACGCTTTTTATTTAAAAGGTATTTTTCTACGAATTTGTTTTTTCCTTCTGCTGGAGTGTATTAAAAGTTCGGCTCGGTCGAACTTAGGCGTTTTTTTACTTCTTACGAAACTTAAATTTATTTTGGCGATACTCATCGCAAATATTTAATAATTTTCCCATACAAAATATCAGATTCTGATATTGTGCGAGGGGAACATTACTTCTCCCATTACTGTGTAACTCCTTTGAAGTGGGAAATCAACGTCCGACATTTTTCAAATTTTTCACAACCCAAATAGTTTTGTATACTTTTTGCCCACAATTTTCAGTACCCACCCTTGGGTACTAAAAGGATTCGAAAAGTACTAAAATGTACTAAAAAATGAATTGAAATTTGGAATGAGAGTCACAATATTGTACGGGAAGTACTAAGTGGTACCAAATTTGGTCTTGGGAGAGAGTTACAATTCAGAAATGTTATATTTGGATTGCTGAAAATATTTGAATAATAAATTGGATACTGGCTGAAGGAATAGGGCTGGAATCCTTAAATTCGATATTGAGGTCTATGTTGGTATCTGGAATTGAGATATGGAGGTGGTTTCGGAAATGTGTTATACATTTTTAAGAAAAGTACTAAATAGAACTAAATGTGGTATTGGATGAAGGGATATAGCTGGAATCCCGAAATTTGATATTGAGGTCTCTGTTGGTATCTGGTTTTGGGATCTGGGTATGGTTTTGGGAAATGTTCACTTTAATTGTATAAAAAATACTGAATGGTACTGAGTGAAGGGATAGAGATAAAATTCTTAAAGTTAATATATAGCTTACTGTGTTTGAGATTTAGAGGTCTTGGACCTTGAAAGTCTGAAAATTTAGTACGACGGATGATGTTTTGATTAAAATGTTTTGTCAAACTGAACAAATTGTGCATTTTGAGTACTTAAAAGGCCTAACGCATACTTTTGGAACGAATCTAAAATTTGAGGGTGGACTTTTCGCTGACAAAATAGCGAGTATATTTATATTTCTTTACATCTCTAGTTTGAGAACACTTCCGAAATTACCCGCTTGCTAAATACCATGGCATAGAATTTAGTAACTTTCGGTACTTTGTTAACTGAAGTTTTCAAAATGTGTTCACATTTCACTCCTTGACACTCCAGCATACTCTTGAGTTGTCCGCTAAATACCACGGAAGTGTAAAAATCTCAAAAATTAACACAATTTCGGAGGGAACCGGGGCCTAGTCCACTCCATCGTACGACCCTGACATGCAAGGTCATTTAAAGTTTAACAACTACATTGTCAACTCGTCTTATTTTATGGTCGATTCTGGAACCCATCACCTTTGGCTTTGTAGTCGGACGCGCATACTATGTACCGATGTTACTCATGATTTGGTAAGGAGAAAAGTAAGCTATTTATACCCTACAACACTATGTAACGTATTATGTAACACCTCGAAATATTGGTCCTGCACATAGGAATATATATATGAATCTTTCTATTTCGACGAGTTTAGTCCGTTTGTATATTTTAATCTGTAATCACGCTCTACAGGTCACAATTATGGCCCGAACCTTACGAAATTTAGCATGGATGTGGGGTTTGGGTCAGAAGATGATCGGAAAATATTTAGGAGTTGAGAGCGTAAATATAGGGCAAATGCCACCGACCAGAAACCAAAGGAAATCCATTGCAGGGCTG